CCTTACCGAGTGATGGTTAGAGACTTCTGCCAAGAGATCCAATCGCGTCGCGCGATTGTGATCGATGAGGGCGATAGGGATGGTGCGGTGATGACACGAGCCGACACCATTCCTGCGGCCACTGAGGCTAGTACTGACGATCAAAGCGCACATCAGCCTTCCCCTGAACAAAGTTCTCAGAGGCTGCGGGACAAGATACAATCACTCGTAGAGCAGAGTGCGGCGTTCCGTAGCTACGAGGCTGATACTCTTGCTGGCACGGCAAGAGATGCTCTGACGGCGGGGAGGGTCGACGTCTTGGCTATCAAGAGATGGCTGGGCATGATCTTCCCTCGGCCGCTACAAGTGCGCCCTCCGCAACGCGTTTCGGCAAAGAAGCACTGTCCTCCAGTCAAGCGAGAGAGCAGGGAGCAGAGGAGAAAGAGGGAGTATGCAATTGTGCAATCCCTCTACAAGAAGAACAAGAAGTCCTGTTTGTCGCGTATCCTCGAGGGCGACTCGGTGCGCGAGAGGCCGTCTGCTGTCGAATTCTTTAACTGCTGGCGCCCCATTATGGAGGCCTCCAGCGGTGCGGATGGAGACATGACGGACTTGCGTGAGTCGTTTGGGGAAGCGGCACAGGCTGCGAGTGCTGGCCGGGGCCGTACGTCAAGTTTGAGAGGGATTCACCTCGAAGGTCTCGGCGATGGCGCTGCCACGGATCCAGTTCCTGTGGCGGATAAGACCTTGCTCTGGGATCCTATAACACCTGCAGAGGTAAACAGGATTTCCGTAAGGACTGGCACTGCGCCCGGATGGACCAGATTACGCCGAGGATGTGGAACGCTGTTCCTGCGATTCTTCGTGCGCTTCTGTTCAATCTGCTGCTCCTGGCAGAGACGATCCCCTCGTCAATCGCCACAACCAGAACGGTATTCCTTGAGAAGGGGGGTATGTCCGATCGGCCAGGTCCGACGGAGTACCGTCCTCTCAGCATAAGATCCGTTATAACAAGACACTTCCACAAGATATTGGCAAAGAGATTGGCAGCCCTCGACATCTTCGACAAGCGCCAAAGGGGGTTCCGGCCGGTGGACGGGGTATGTGAGAACGTCACAGTCCTTTCATCCGTGCTTTGGGACGCCCGGAGGCGTTGTCGTTCTCTGCATGTGGCGTGCGTTGATCTGTCGAAAGCTTTCGATACGGTTGCGCACGCTGCTATTCATACGACTCTCGATGAGCTGGGGCTCCCTCGGGAGTTTAGAGAGTACGTAAGGGCTGTCTATTCGAATGCGCTGACCGAGTTGCAGGGGGTCAGCGCTGAGGAAGTGTCGGCCATCATGATTGGCCGTGGCGTGAGACAGGGTGATCCGTTGTCGCCCCTGCTGTTCAATCTGGTCGTAGATAGAGCACTAGGAATTCTCTCGGAGGACGTTGGCTATCGGTTGGGTGGCCGGCTTATCAATGCGCTGGGCTACGCAGACGACATTGTGCTCCTGGTCTCTACCAGAGATGGTCTGCAGGAGAACTTGACACGGCTTCATGACGCCTTTATGCGAAATGGGCTCGAGATCAACGCGAGAAAGACCGGAGTGCTGTCCATGGTGGCGTCCGGCAGAGACAAGAAGGTGAAGGTGGACACCACACCTTATTTCACCGTGGGGGGGAGCGATGATACCGCAAAGATCCCTGGTCGATGTCTGGACGTATCTGGGCTGCGAATACACAGGTGCTAGGGAACTCGCAAGCGATCCACCCTTAGCTCAGGCCATCGAGCAACTCACGAGGGCACCTCTTAAGCCGCAACAGCGGCTGAGGTTGTTGCGTGACTGTCTCCTTCCACGGTATTATCACCGATGGACAGTGGGTACGGTCTCGGCCAAAACCCTCAAGGGTAAGAATATCATCGTACGCACCGCGGTGCGACGATGGCTGCGTTTTCCCCATGATGTTCCTGCTGGATACCTGCATGCGCCGATACAGAGTGGCGGGCTTGGAATGCCTCTATTGAGAACTTTGATCCCAATTCTGAAACATAACCGACTGCAGCGGTTGTGTCGGAGTACTCTACCCGCAGCATGCGCGGCTGCCGAAACCACGTATGTGGCTAGGCAGCTTGTCTGGTGTGAAAACCAGATGCGAGTGCGGGGTCACAGAGTGACTACGACCGCTGAGCTCAGACAGCAGTGTGCGGCCTGGTTGCGCGAGTCGTGCGATGGGAGTGGACTCAGAGAGGTTGCGGCCTCCAACCTGAGCTCCTACTGGGTATCGGCTGGCGCCGATGCCATCCCAGGTGCCGACTACGTGCACTATCACCACATACGAGCTAACTGCATACCGTCTAGAGCGAGATGCTTCCGAGGTCGTGATGGGCGCGATAATCGCTGTCGTGCCGGTTGTCCCGAAACCGAGACGCCGGCTCACTGCGTGCAACGCTGCTTCAGAACGCACGGAGGGAAAATCCTGCGGCATGACGACCTATGCCGTCAAGTTGGTGGCTATTTACAGCAGAAGGGATGGCGCGTCGATGCGGAACAAGCGTATTCGACGTCTGCCGGCCGGAGGCGGCCCGACCTGACCATCGCTAAGGGTGGTGAGGCAGTGGTCGTAGACGCGCAGGTAGTGTCTAGCAAAACCGCGTTGGAGATGTCCCACGAGCGTAAGGTGGAAAAGTACCGGTCATGTAATGATCTGGCAGCCGCTGTGGCGGAGCGCACAGGAGTACCACGAAATAATGTTCGTTTTACCGCCATTACTATTTCGTGGCAAGGTGTCTGGAGCTCGCGAAGCGAGTCTGAGTTGCGGGGGCTGGGTTTAACGTCCGCCCAGCTCCGAACGTTGACGACTCGGGTCTTGTGGGGCTCATGGCTGGAAACGTTTTAACGCAATGACATCGCGTTATAACGAGAGAAGACGGAACGTGGCCTCATCTAGTGGTGCATGATGGATGGCGCGTAGAGTTGGGGGCCTCCGCATCATTCGCGCGAGTTTGAATGATTGCGTGAATGGTCGAGGTGAAATACGAGCTGCCTTTAGCTAGCTCCGACCTTCACGATCCAGGGTGTTGACTGCGAACACCAACAGTAAACAGCTCTGCAATATCGCTGTCGGTGGCGACTTGGCGACTGTGATTTTGTAGCAGTCGTCGCGCACCGTAGGCGAAACAGCCAAATGCCTCGTCATCTAATTAGTGACGCGCCATCGCCACCCTCCCCTGACCCCTTTCCAGGCCCTTCTCGTCGGCCGCCCGCTGGGCCACGACGCCGCCCAACACCCGCTGCCCCTGTCCCTGCTCCCCGCAAGCCCCGCAATTCCCATGCCCACACTGTGATCGTGCGTTCACCACGAAGACCGGACTCGGCCTCCATCGCCGACGTGCACACGAGGCCATCGTCAACGAGGAGGTTAACGTCGAGAGGGTTAACCGCCAATGGAGCGACGAAGAGAAGCGCATGATGGCGAGGGAGAAGGCGCTTGCCGCGAATCGAGGCGTTAGGTTTATGAATCAACATCTGTTAACCGTCGTCCCGAATCGCACCCTTGATGCCATCAAGGGGATGCGTAAGAACGGCGGTTACCAGCGCCTCGTCGCGACGGCACTGGAGGATCTGGCAGCCGCATCATCGAGCGAGAGCTCGTTTCTCTCGGCCGGTGGCTCCAGTCCTCCCGTCTCCCCTCGACCCATCGCCATCTCTCCCCACGGGTCGCCTGGCTCGCCTCCGCTTTCTCCATCTTCTCCCGGCTGGGGTGATGCGTACGGCAGTTTTGCCGGTGCTATACGCGCGCTCATCCCGGTTGTGGAGGCCATCCAGGGATGGAAGTCCCATATCCTGATCCAGATCGGATCAGGAATTCTGGATGGCCAGCGGAGGACCTGGGCCCGTGGGTATTGAGTGTGTTCCCTCCGACGCTTCCTCGTGTGCGACCGCCCGTACGAAACCGTGTCGTCAATCCGGATAGAAAAGCGCGCCGCCGAGCGGAGTATGCGCGCGTCCAGCGCCTCTTCCGTTCGAGCATGTCGCGCGCGGCCAAGGAGATTCTGGATGGTGCCACTGAGGCGGACGTGGTTCCCGGTGTGCGGCAGATGGCCGCGCACTGGGGCCCGTTCGTAGCGCAGGAGTCCGCTCCTGTCGCACCGGCTCCGCGTCTTCCACCGAAAGCGGAGCTTAGTGGCACCTGGTCTCCAATCTCTGTGAGGAGGCGGCAGCCATCAACCTGCCCCTCAACTCGGCCCCCGGATTAGACGGCATCGGCGTACGGATATGGAGAGCGGTACCAGCTTCCATCAAAGCTCTCCTCTTCAACATCGTGCTGCAATACGGAGGTTTCCCAGCATCGATGCTGGTGAGTCGGACGGTTTTCATCCCGAAGAGGGGGGAGTGCTCCCTGCCGGGGGATTTCCGTGTAATAGCGAACCTTCCGCTCGTGGGCGTCCGATAAGGGAGTCGCTCCGCTGACGACCTGTGCGTCCACCACAACGGCCTTGGGGCCACGCAGGCAAAGCAAGTCAGGCTTGCGTTTGCCCTCGGTCGTGACGTACGACGGTTCTTCTCGTACGGTCCAGCCCACGTTCCTCAGTCCTGACGCTAGGACTCTGCACACTGCGTTGTGCCTGAGGACGCGGCCACCATGGGTGCGGAAACACCCCTGGATGACGTGCGCGGCTGTCTCTGTTGAATTACAGCCTGCACGACATCCGGTGGCGTACTGCTCCCGCCTCACCCCCCTAGACGTACGTATACGCGTCGGGAGGGTATTGGTGAGAACATGCACGTACTGGACATAATCACGACCGGGAATGGCGTGGCTACCGTGATACATTCACCAGGAGGACAGGTTGGACCCCGGACACTCCCGCAATTCGTATCCGTCGACTGACTGATGCAGTCGACGAGACCACCACACGTCCCGCCGGTGTTTGGAGGCCAAGCACACCCCATTGCGGGTCAGGGCCCGCTGGGCCTATTCCCCCCGGCGCTCCGCCCAGGTGTAGTGGGCGATTGCCCCAACCTGCGGGGCTGTCAGGATTCCAGGCTGCGCAGACGACTAAGCAGCAAACCTGGAACCGTGGTGGCAAGAGCGGGAATGCCGAGACCGCCACTCGAAACTGGTGAGAGGAAAAAGGCCGTCGGAACATCGTGCGGAAGACGAAGCCATCTGCGAACCGCTGCGCGGGTTGTTACGTCGAGAGCTCTCAATTTTCCAAAGGTGGCCCTACCCAGGACCAGCGAGTGGTAGAGGCGAGGAAGAAGAAAGCAGCGGACGATCTTTAGCCGCTGCTGGGGCTTCAGAGGTGCTCTGCTCAGTCGGCTCAGATATATGTGTTACGTCCAGCAATTCACCTTGCGGTAAATCACCTTATGCACAAGTCGGTCTTCTCTCGCGTCTACCTCGGTTAAACGTTCGAGAAGCTGCTCTCTACTTTTTTAGGGCAACCTGCTAGGCCGGCTATACCCTGGGATGCCGAGAGCTTGAGATTCGATTGAGACAGTCGGATGGAGAAGGAATTCTGCGGGTCGGGTCGATAAATAAAGATATTTTATAAATATAAAAATTGTTTATTCATTTATAGATCCTTTATGTCGATACAAAATCTACTGGTCCTGACTCGGTTCAGGATGAGCTTGGAGCTGTATTATAATGTTATTAGACTCCTGTTCAGAGTCGTTATATTGGTTAAGATAGTTTATGAAGGAGCTAAAATTATGCTGCGCTTCTTCTGGGACGAAATTATCGAAGTCGTCGGGAGAGATTACCACGGTGTCTTCGTCGAAAATATTAGAATTGGGTTGTAAAAATGGATCGTGTTCCGGAGATGCTAATTGTTGAGTTTGATTACGGACGTGATATTCAGGGTCAGTTAAAAATTGATGAGTTGGATCGATTAAGTAAGTATTTGATTCTGAATGAGACTGTTCAGGAAATTGAGGGTGAGAGTAGTCAATGTATGGAGGAATATTATTAATAGGCGAATAAGCGCCTGGAGAGGAAGGTTGTATGATTATTCGCGTTGGATAAATTTGAACGTTTAGATTTAGAGGTCTTCGAGATCTACGTTCGCGTAGCCTGCGAAGGTGCTGCTCGTTTCGATCGATCTGATTCCTTCGTCGGAAAGGAGAGACCATCTAACGGTTAAATAAATTTACATGAATAAATCGAAAGATAGATTGTTCTATTATTTGAAATAATTGAATATGACTCACGTTTGTAGCGTGATTTACTCGTTAATGAAAGCGAACAAAGATGAAAGGTTAATCTTATGCGAGAAAGCCCTTCACCTATTAATAAATTAACCTTATGTCAGTAATTATTATAATAAACCTGTATTAAATGAGAATTGGTAATAATGTGGATAAAAGGAAGGATTTGAATAGGAGTATTAATATCTGCGTTGAGAATATTAATACTTGATGTTTCAATCTTTAATAATTAAATCTTAAACTTTGAAATAGTAATTCTTAATGAATAAATAAATCTTAGACTTTGAAGTAACAGAATGAATATCAAAATCACTGTCAGTTGGTATGGTAAAGTAATTCGCAATTATTGGAAAATGCTGGGTATTAAAAGCATGAAAGAATAGAGAGATAGGTGTACATCCGGTTATTCCGGGTTCTCAGGTCCTGGTCTTAATAGGCTAATGCTACGTTCACTTTACTAAACGTGCACCTCTGAGATGATTTGCGAATTTACCTTCTGACAGGATATAACTCTAATGGGTATAGAGGAGTTAGGAATAGAGGTTTGAATATAAGTATTAATATCTATATTAAGAGTATTAATACGTGTAGCTTCAAGCATCAATAATTGAATTGTAAATTATTAATTAATTATTTTTAATAATCATTAAGACCACTGTCATTTGGTTTGGTAAAGTAATTCGTTAGGTTTGTAAAGCAGAGAGAGAGTAAGCAGGGAAGGGTGAAGAAATGTACGGTTGCCCGTGGATTCCGGTCCCCGAAGGTTAATGCGACGTTCACTTTACAGAACGTGCATCTCAGAATCGTAGTAACGAATTTACCTTATGACAGGGTATGGTTTTAATAGTAGCAAATAGGGTAAGGTGGAGTACACTTGTCAAATAAATTTAAATATCAATATGCAAGATCACTGTCAGTCGGTGTGGTAAAGTAATTCGCAATTATTGGAAAGTGCAAGGTATTAAAAGCATAAAAGAATAGAGAGGTAGGTATACATCCGGTTATTCCGGGTTCTCAGGTCCTGGTCTTAATAGGCTAATGCTACGTTCACTTTACTAAACGTGCATCTCTGAGATGATTTGCGAATTTACCTTCTGACAGGATATAAAATTCTAATGTGTACTGAGGAATTAGCGTTATTCAATTCGCTAATAGGTAGTAGGATACGGGGTTACATACATATATAAATAAGCAGTGATATAATAAAATACATAAGTATATTTATTATAATAGATTGAATAAGTATGCGATATCGGTTAAATAATATTGAATAGTATTGGATAAAATATTAAATAGATCGACGATTGTAACGCAGACGTATGCAGATGCAAATCGTAGATTGGAATAATATCGGAAACGCAGAGTAATATATGGCTTATGTCTGTATTCAAATTCAGAGTTCGTAATATGAAATAAGATTGAGTTCGAAATTCAGAGTTCGTAATGTGAAATAAGATTGAGTTCGAAATTCAGTGTTCGTAATGTGAAATAAGATTGAGTTCGAAATTCAGTGGTTAAATAATTAATTAAATATAATGATTAAATATAATGAGTGTCCGTCGCGCTTTACTATTTAGGGATATGTGAACTGGCTTAAATACTCACAAGGTTAGACAATGTCTTATGTGCCTTGCTATGGTACACTTCGCTACTGTGTTCTTCCCTCTGAGTTGAAGAGCTGAGGAGCCTCGGTACCTCGGTCCGAAATGGCGGCTATGTCTCGATGTCTTCAGAGCTCCGTAGTATTTGCTGGTTGAGTGCTGGATTGTTGTTGACTGGAACCACTGCGACGAAATCACTGTTGAGTGATGGAGGACGGATGCACTGCCGTTCCGTGCCGGGAGCCGGGTTTATATACCCAAAAATGGGGCTCGCTCCTCCCATCGGGCGATGTGGCTCAGCCAATGGCAAGAGAGATGTGCCGGGGAAGTACCGGAGATAATCTGTTCCTGGTAGAGATTGCAACGGTTAAGTCCCGGAGAGATGGTTTCTTAGTAGAGATAGCGGCGTTCAAGGTGACTCATCGCTGAGCGCTCCGACTTTCCTTATCCTATTCTCGGTAGCGATAGCTGTATGCCTTTGTTGGCTATGCGCTCCGACTTATCTTATCTTCTTCTTGGTAATTGATTTTGCAGGTGGCTGGTGACTCATCGCTATGCGGCTTGCAATAGGCTTTGCAGGTCGCAACGTGTTTCAGCGTTGCATCATGCATTGCATCACGCTATTGTTCTAGAACCTTTTAGAATCTTCTGGATGTTTTATCTTATCTTCTTCTTGGTAATCGATTTTGCAGGTGGCTGGTGACTCATCGCTATGCGCTCCGACTTATCTTATCTTCTTCTTGGTAATTGATTTGCAGGTGGCTGGTGACTCATCGCTATGCGGCTTGCAATAGGCTTTGCAGGTTGCAACGTGTTTCAGCGTTGCATCATGCATTGCATCACGCTATTGTTCTAGAACCTTCTAGAATCTTCTGGATGTTTCCTTGCGAGTAAAGCCGAGTTCACATAGTAAAGCAGCTTTCATACATAATTATTTAATTATTTAGTATACTTCTTTATAAACGATACGTACATATATATATTTTCAGGTAGTAATAAGGCGGGTTTCATACATGCACTGAGAGAAAATAATAGTATTCTTCTCTTAGTGTAGTGGCTCCTTTGGGCGTACGATGGATATAATGTTATTTTGCGCTATGTATAAGATCTTTGGGTTTTATAATTATAAGTAAATGTATTTGTAAGAAGTTTTGTGTGTTAATATATATATATCGCGTATATATTTAAAGTTTAATACTATTGAATAATACATTTAATATTAGTGAAATGAATATTATATCGTAATAGTCGATCTGTATTATTAATCGAAATTTATTCAGATCGAAATTTATTCAAAAAAAATAAATAATTACTATCCATTTAAGTCAAGAGAGAAAAAGGAAATAATTGTATTATATGTCAAACGTTATATCCTATACTGTCGTTGAAATCACCGGAGAATACCATATGTCTTATACAGTCGTTGAAATCACCGGAGAATACCATATGTCTTATACAGTCATTGAAATCACCGGAGAATAGTGTCGTCAAAGTATACGATTGATATATATATATATAGTGTCGTGAAAGTATACGATTGGCATATATATATAGAGTCGTGAAGGTGTCTCGGAACAAACCCTTTGACATATATATATATATATATGTTCTTAACCTTATTTTAGGTTTTCTCACAAATAATCAATAAGGATTTTAAATACTTATATATTCATAGTCGAACTATGGTATCCTTATTTAGTACTTTCGAACGTGTGACGGATACAATGTTACTACGCATTACGTGTACGATTTTTAAGTCTCTTGAATTATGAATAGTTATAATATAGGCACGCTTATTCTTATTTCAGGTTTATGTTTCCTAACGAATGATCGAGAGTAGAGAGTCTTTATTAATTATGCCTTTTATGCTATCAATATTATTAAATTTAAAAGTGAATAATTACTCTGTCGTCATTTGTGAGAAGACATGTTTTATCCTATGAGTAATTATATGTGATTAAATATTCGTTATTACCGGTCTTTCATGCAGGTTAGAGATTGTCATGACTAATAGATTAAAGGATAAAGTTTTGAAAAAGTTTGAAGTTTTGAAATTTGTCTGGACGTTACATATGGATATATCCGAGCCGACTTTCTTCGGTCCTGCCGGCCGGAAATCGACCCCGAGGTACCGCCATTCGGCATTCGTATCCAGCTGCGGCAGGAATGTTTCATCCCGCAGGCGGAATTCCGGGGCCGTCAGGATTTTAATTTTCTTTTCCCGGCCAGAAGGAACGAGAGAAAGAACAGAGCACTTCTTGGCTTGAAAAAGAAGCCCCGTCTCCCTCGCTGTGTCCTCCACCACCCTGATGCTGGTCTGGAGACCCCACTTGGTGGCAGCAAAGAAGAGAACATCGTCAGCATAGGCTAGGCTGTTTATGCGATGTTCTCCCATTTGGTAACCGACGTCGGCAGGTATGGCTCTCATGATCACATCTACCACCAGACAAAACAGCACTGGTGATAAAGGATCCCCCTGCCTGACGCTTCTGCCAATACCAGAGAGCTCTGACTTGTCACCGCGCACTTCAAATATCGTGCCGCTGCGCGCATAACTATGCGCGATATAGTCTATTAGGCCGTGAGGCACGCCCAGGCCAACCAAGGCGTTGGTGATAGCACCATGGCTGACGCTGTCGAAGGTCTTTGCGAAGTCCAGCGAGGCAACGTGCATCTCGCGACGACGGGACCTGGCGTCCATTAAGAGGGACGCCAGGACGGCTACATTGTCGCCGCACCCGTCATCAAAGCACCGCTGCCTTAGATCGACTAGCTTGGACTCGCGAAGCCTTTGGGCAAAGATCTTATGTAAGTGCCTCACGACCACGGAGGTGATGGAGATCGAACGGAAATCCCCCGGCAGGGAGCACTGCCCCCTCTTCGGGATGAAAACCGTCCGACACACCAGCATCGATGCTGGGCAACCTCCGTATTGCAGCACGATGTTGAAGAGGAGAGTTTTGATGGAAGCTGGTACCGCTCTCCATATCCGTACGCCGATGCCGTCTAATCCGGGGGCCGAGTTGAGGGGCAGGTTAATGGCTGCCGCCTCCTCACAGGAGATTGGAGACCAGGTGCCACTAAGCTCCACTTTCGGTGGAAGACGCGGAGCCGGTGCGACAGGAGCGGACTCCTGCGCTACGAACGGGCCCCAGTGCGCGGCCATCTGCCGCACACCGGGAACCACGTCCGCCTCAGTGGCACCATCCAGAATCTCCTTGGCCGCGCGCGACATGCTCGAACGGGAGAGACGCTGGACGCGCGCATACTCCGCTCGGCGGCGCGCTTTTCTATCCGGATTGACGACACGGTTTCGTACGGGCGGTCGCACACGAGGAAGCGTCGGAGGGAACACACTCAATACCCACGGGCCCAGGTCCTCCGCTGGCCATCCACAATTCCTGATCCGATCTGGATCAGGATATGGGACTTCCATCCCTGGATGGCCTCCACAACCGGGATGAGCGCGCGTATAGCACCGGCAAAACTGCCGTACGCATCACCCCAGCCGGGAGAAGATGGAGAAAGCGGAGGCGAGCCAGGCGACCCGTGGGGAGAGATTGCGATGGGTCGAAGGGAGACGGGAGGACTGAAGCCACCGGCCGAGAGAAACGAGCTCTCGCTCGATGATGCGGCTGCCAGATCCTCCAGTGCCGTCGCGACGAGGCGCTGGTAACCGCCGTTCTTACGCATCCCCTTGATGGCATCAAGGGTGCGATTCGGGACGACGGTTAACAGATGTTGATTCATAAACCTAACGCCTCGATTCGCGGCAAGCGCCTTCTCCCTTGTGTCACGTCCGGCCGTATAAATTTTTTCGTTTACTCCAAGTTTTTAAACGCTATTTGATAAGCGCGCCAAAGCCGGCCATGATGCTTAACTCCGCCTAGAAACTAAGCGTGGCGCTTCGTAGCGCCTAAGGATCTCCCACCACGGTGAGAGCCCCTACTCCGGAGAGTTCCCCCTCTCCAGGCCGCCGCAGTTCCGAGCCGCCGAAACGAAGGACCTCAGAGCAGTCCCGAATTTCGGCAGTTCTTTGCGCGACACCGAACAGTATAGTCGCACTCCTAAATTCTAACTCTAAGTCCAAATTCTAAATCCTAACTCTAATTCTAAAATTCTAACTCTAAGTATAATATTCTAACTCTAAATTCTAAGTCTAAATCTAAATTCTAATTCTAAGTTTTAGTCTCGAATTTTGTACTACTATACGAATAAATCAGTGTATTCATGTGTGAAAACTAGTGTTCAATATTCTTCAAAACTTCCACTCCCGTGATAAAATACGATAGCGTTTAAATTTGTCATACGGCGTTTGAATTCAGAATAATTCAAACTGTGTTTGGAGCGGACCACCGCTCATCACAGTCAGAATTAACATTCTCAGCATTTGCCAAAATAAGGAATTGATAGTGAGGTCCGCCGCATATCAACCCTCCTTATTTGAGTAATCATTCAGAGGATGCATCAAATTCAATATGCCTAAGACGCGACGCGCAGGAAGGAAGAATCAATTACGAAAACTAAACCGACTTTATCGCGAATCAGCGACCGAGGAATATTCTCAATTCCTCGGAGTGGAATATCAGGCCGATCCTGAATACGAGAACATTTTCAACATTAAAAATAATCTCAGAAATAAATATTTTTATCGGCTCTCAATATAAATAATATAAGTATGCTGTCTTCTAAGCTGGGCAATAGAGGCAAGGAAACGAAACGAAAAATTAATTAAACGGAACTGTATCTCAATTTGAGATCCCAAAGTTCCACATATAAATTAATTTCGAAACTTACATATGGAGAAATAAGCGAGAAAAATATAGGTCCGAAAAGTCGCTGAAGCGGGAATCGAACCCGCGTCTTTCACTTTCCGGGCGACTGCTCTTACCAACTAAGCTATTCAGACCCTTTCGATCCTATATTTTTCATTTGCCTTTTTAGTAGATGTTAGTAAATACCGCCGTGATTAGCCCAAGGCGTGAATAAACTCACTTTATATTGAGAGCCGATAAAAATATTTATTTCTGAGTTTATTCACGCCTTGGGCTAATCACGGCGGTATTTACTAACATCTACTAAAAAGGCAAATGAAAAATATAGGATCGAAAGGGTCTGAATAGCTTAGTTGGTAAGAGCAGTCGCCCGGAAAGTGAAAGACGCGGGTTCGATTCCCGCTTCAGCGACTTTTCGGACCTATATTTTTCTCGCTTATTTCTCCATATGTAAGTTTCGAAATTAATTTATATGTGGAACTTTGGGATCTCAAATTGAGATACAGTTCCGTTTAATTAATTTTTCGTTTCGTTTCCTTGGCTCTATTGCCCAGCTTAGAAGACAGCATACTTATATTATTAAAAATAATAACAACGACGAACTCCTACAGTGGAAGTGCATACCAATAACGTTCCAACCACGACGCCTGCCGCCGCCAAACATCCCAGTGAACGACCCTCGCCGCACGCACTACCTCCAAGTACGAGCCGACACGATCAAGAAAGTGCTACTAAAGGTAAGTGAAATTCACGTTAACCTAAGGAATCGCGCGTGTTAGCAAATTCAGAGACGCTTCTACCACGTGGAAGAGAACATTCTAGAAAAATCTCCGACGCATTTTTCCTCTTTTCCATCGTCACTGCGGAAGCTATAAAAAAAAGGTCGGGCTATAAAACTAGGGTCGACCACCACATGCGGTGCCACCCTCGGAATTCTAACACGGAAAAACGCAAATAGTTCAATCTCTTAAAAATCTTGTGTCTCAAGAAATAACTTCGTAAATCCGTACAACAAAGTAGTCATTTAAACAATAATCAATTGAGAACACTTTCGATTTACCAACATTACCGACGATATACCGACATACGTTCTTTTACCGACGTTATCGACAATATACCGACATACGTTCTTTTACCGACATTACCGACTATATACCAACATACGTTCTTATACCGACATTACCAACCATATATCGACGAACGTTCTTTTACCAACGGGTTATCGACACCTTACTGGCACCTTACCAGTGTTTTACTGAACAATTACCGACGGTTTTGCCGACGACTACTAACTTCTCGATAACTGCCGGGTTCACCGAAGATCTACGAGCGAATGACGCATTATCAATTCGATTACGCAACAAACACAAATGTGCCCACTCACCCTTAGAGGTATAACTCCTCCTCCAGAAGTTAATCTCTTTGTACCGTTTGAACCCTTATTCTATTAAGTTGGTGTCGGATACATCCATTTTGAGACTAAGGCAGCTCTCTGCATTTCATGCTACTCCACCTTACCTAGAGTCTCGAAATTACTTTGGACAAGGATTCGGAAGCATACTCTAATCATAGGCGGAACACCTATCGGAATAAATTGCGGAGTCTGCAACTTCCGACTTACCCTCACGCGAATCGGTGATTTGTGCGAGCTTTGTCAGTTTACGTACGAAGATTACTTACGCAACCCCAACGACGTTTCGCATAGAGCAATCGACGAAGCTATCTTTATTACAGTAGAGTCACAGGTAGGTCCCACGCAATAATCCGATCACCTCAGTTCCAGCGCGAATAACCTCAGATCGCGGGTATCCCCGGGGAGAATCGCATAGATTCGCGTACCCGTAATAGCGATCGTGTCTCGTGGAAAAAGCCGAGCTCTGCATTCAAATTTTCGCAGCCGCGACCCCACGAGACGTAACAGTAGCGAAATGTCGTTGGTCAATTTGTCAAAAGCCGTTTTTAATTCCCGGTCCGCCCCGTGAAAGTTCGTGCTGTTGTCGCTGTAGAGTTTTTGTGGCAATCCTCGTCGACTAACGAATCTTCGAAAGGCCGCTTGAAATCCCGCAGAGGAATAATCCTCAACGAGCTCTATGTGGATAGCCTTCGTCACAAGACAGATTATCAAGGCGATGTAACTTTTACGTGTGTTTTGTCCTTTACCGACTAATGAAGTAACAAGGAACGGCCCGGCGTAATCTACTTTCGTATGCGTAAACGGAGATGATGGATTTACGCGAGGGGAGGGAAGGTCTCCTATAAGTTGATTTGATAGTTTGTTCGCGTAACGAGCACACACGACACATTGTCTAATGCAATGTTTTACGGCATTACGACAACTTAATATCCAATATTTTTGGCAGAGTGTTCTAAGCACAAGTTGAGTTCCTCCATGAAGTGAGCTTCGGTGCGTTTGATCAATTAATAACTCGGCTACTCGACCCCGAGGAATTAAGATAGGGTGTTGTTCCTCGAAGGATAGTGCGGAATTCCGTAACCGCCCGCCGAAACGTAGTAAGGAATCTTTTCTTATGAAAGGATTAAGAGGCTTCTGTGGGCTCTTTCGCGGAAGGTTTTCTTCTCTCTTTAATGCTTTGAGTTCGGAGTCGAACGACTTCCTCTGCGTATATGAGACCCAAAACATTTCCGCGCGTTTAAGTTCGTCCGCGTTAAGAGACAACGCAACATTAGCTTCAAAATTCCTTTGTTTAGCGGAGCGGGATATAAATCTGTAAGCGTAGGCTGTCACTCGAATGAGCTTAGTCCAGGAGGAGTATCTATAAGGGAGATCCCATTCCGGTGTACCTTCCACGTGAAGGACAGTGGACTTTCGACTTTCCGAGTGTATTTGCTTAGTTAACTCCGTGGAGATCGGAGAAGCAATGTTATGTGGCGGCCACGCTGTTGAAGGCCATTGAAGCCAAGGCGGGCCCGCCCACCATAACGGATGTGAGACTAACTTGGATGCGTACAACCCTCTGGATGCACAGTCGGCCGGATTGTTTTTGGACGGTACGTGATTCCATTTGGCCGAGGGTAGATTACACTGCACCTCGGATACTCTGTTTGCTACGTACGTAGTCCATTTCGATGGATGTTGGCGTAACCATGCCAACGCGATCGTGGAGTCCGTCCAACAATGGATCGGACAATGAATAATATTTAATGACTTAATTACCCACTTAACGAGTCGACTCAATAAAACAACGGCGTTGAGCTCGAGCCGCGGAATGCTAACAGTCTTGACGGGAGCCACCTTCGACTTCGCAACGATCAAGCTAACACGGTATTCCGAAAGAGAATGGAAAACGCGCAAGTATACGACCGCAGCGTACGCGCGATTTGAAGCGTCGGCGAATCCATGTATTTCTAACGCGAGATTATCAGGGCTCTGACCCGTCCACCGAGGAATTCTAACGGATTCTAATTGCGGGAACTCGGAAGCGAAAGCATTCCACCGTTGACTCAATTCGTTCGGAAGCGGAGCATCCCAGTCGCAATGTAAAAGCCATAGCTCTTGCAGAATGATTTTTGCGTTTATTACAACCGGCGCAGCCCATCCGAGGGGGTCATACAAGCTCGCGATGCACGACAGGATTGAACGCTTAGTTAACGCTGTAGGAAAATTAAATTTCACAGTAAGGCGGAAGGAGTCTTCCGTAGGGAGCCATGATAATCCGAGTATTTTCAACGTTTCGTCCTTTAGGATAAGGTGATCGGTAACGTCCGATTGATCGCTGGATAAATCATCAAGAAGCTCGCTACAGTTTGAAGCCCATTTACGAAGTGAAAAACCTCCGCGCCTCATTAGTTCAGCGAGCTGAGTTCGCGTATTTATTAACGAATCGATATCGTTTGCTCCGAACAATGCGTCGTCCACGTAAATGGAATCATTGACGATCGGTACCGCGGCAGGAAACTTTGCACCTTCATCAAGCGCGAGCTGTCGAAGCACGCGCATCGAAAGATAAGGTGCCGATGCTAAACCATACGTCACTGTAAGAAGGCGAAAATGAGTAAGCGGAGCGTCATCCGTCGGACGCCACAGGATTCTTTGGTAATCGACGTCCCGCGGATGTACGCGTATTTGTCGAAACATCTTGGCGATGTCTGCCGTATAAACCAAGCGCCATGCACGCCAACGCAATAAGACGGCAGGGAGATCCTGCTGCAACTTTGGCCCGATGAGCAAATGGTCGTTAAGTGACGTGCCATTCCGGGTTTTACACGACGCGTTAAATACGACTCGAAGCTTGGTGGTGCAACTATCCTCTCTTATTACTGGATGATGGGGAATATAAATCGGTATATTCTCAGTGGGTTCGGACTCGCCAACGCGAGTCATATGTCCAAGGGCCTCGTATTCTGTAAGAAAGTCTCTGTATAGCGAACAGAGATCGGATTTTGAATTCAATTTATTTTCCAGACGACCGTACAATGTACGCGCTATGGAGAGAGATTCCCCGATATCGATCGGCAAAGCATTTTTGAAAAGTAATCTCACGACATAACGACCGTCAGGATCACGACTGTGCGTTTGAGCGAAATAAGATTCGCATTTTTCTTCCTCCTCCGTGAGGGAAGTTGGCGTGGGAATCTCTTTGTCCTCCCAGAATTTCTGGAGGAGAGAGTCCACATCCAGCGCGGATACGCAATTCAAAACAGTTACTTCTTGTGAAGTAGTTTCTTTACTTCCGGTCGGTCCAGAGATTATCCAACCGAACGAGGTCGATTGGGCAGTGGGCGCTCCATAGGGGCCCTGTCTCAGGTCGCGCAATAAGAGCGAACCGTACACGTCCGCGCCGATCAGCATGTGAATCTGATGTCGACTAGATGGATCCGGATATGCTAGTGAAAGGCCCTGTAAATGAGGCCATGATTCTATAGGCCAAATTCGCGACGTGGCGTACGAAGTTATTCGCGGGAATACATACGCAGTGACCGGAAAAACAGGATTCAATTTTTCGCACGGCGTCAAATTTAGCGAAACTCTCGATCGCGCAGAACCGGCATATTTCTCCCCGAAACCTTTTATTTGAAGATCGGTCCTCTGTCGTTTAGTGCGAAGCGTTTGACTCAATGCTTCGGAAATAAAGCTAAAATTAGACCCTTGATCTAATAAAGCGCGGACCTTAAAACATCTTCCTTCAGAAGTGTGTATGTCAACCCACGCGGTCGCGAGAAGAACGGTGGGCATCGTGGTATTCTAAGGTTTGAGAGTTTGCACGCTGGCGACGGCGGCGTCGCCGACTACGACAGTCTTACTCGTGGTAGTAGACGCATTAACGCTCGAATTCGATAAACGGGAATTTTCCGCTGTGTCCTTATTTTGATCACTCTCATTGTGTAACAATGTGTTATGAGAGCGTTGACAATGAGCGCATCGAATTTTGCTCGAGCATTTCGGCGTGAAATGTCCCGCTCGCAAACAATTGAAGCAGACCCGATTCTGTCGCGCGATGGCATGCCGCTATGTCGCGTTTTTCCGACGAAATTCCTCGCACTTCATTACCGAATGACTGCCGGAACAGCAAATGCACTTAATCGCGGAAAGATTATGAACGGAGGACTGCGTTTTGTCACTCTTAGAATTGACGATTACTTTAGGATTGTCGGAGAAGTCCGACAGACCTCGTATTCGAAGCGTGAGGAATTCATGAATATCCTTGTACGAAGGAAGCTCGCGACTTGACGAAATTTTTAAATTCCATTCGCTCCTTGTTTTCGAACTAAATTTTTGAGAGATGACGTAGACGAGAATGTCATCCCACTCGCGTACCGGCCGCTTTAGATTAGTGAGAGCCGCTAGAGATGCGGACACGGTATCTCTCAACTTTCGCATTTCCGCGACGTTTTCCGCCTTCATTGTCGGTAGGCACATGAAGGCGTGAATGTGAGTATAGATCAACGTAAGTTGATCATCATACTCGTCAATCAACAACTGCCAGACGGACTCATAATTAGCGTCGGAAATCTTTAAATTACTAATAATCGAGGCAGCGTCACTGATGACGCTCGTTTTGAGGTAATGAAATTTCTGCGTGTTCGAGAGAGAATCATTACTCGCGACAAGAGACTCGAAAGTATTTTTAAAACTCTCCCATTCGGAGAACTTGCCCGAAAACTTCGGAAGTGAGATCCGTGGCAACTGAAAATTGTGATTATGAATGCCCTCGCGAATTGAAGAATCAGTACTGTGTTCTAACAACGGAGATTGATTAATTGAGAATCTTAATCGTATTTTCGTATTTCGAGACTTATCGTATCGCGAAGGAGGTCGGCCGTGTCGTGGTAGATCTCCTCGGCGCTCAGGAAGTTTCCATTCAGGAAATACGAGACAGTCTTCTGCTCCTCCGAAGTTGTGGCTTGCAGCAGCTTGACGTGTAGCCCTCGACAGGAAGTCCAAAGCGTTTCCAGCGTTGCAAGACGCCTCTGCGTCTTTGCTAATGTAACATTAGCTTTCGCTAATTTCTTGAAGTTAACGAGAACTCGCTTTATCGAGTCGATTGTTTCAACTTGCGAGATGAGCAAATTTCTTAATTCTGCCATTATTTCTTCGTTAATGAGCTATTAATAGTGACTTGATCGAAGGTACCGGGCTCGTGAGCACGGTGCCGACGGCAACGAATGCGCGACGACTTTTGGTCGAATCGCGACACTGTTATGTCGCTTAAGAATACACGGGATATGCCGGGGAGCGTTACCGCTGCGCCGACGGCAACCTTTCCGCGGATGTTTTCTTATCGACAAGCGGATTTCTCCGGTGCCTGAAGAATTAACGCCGTGACGTTCAATTGCCACGCCGACGGCGTCGAACTCGCGACGATTCCCTTTTAATCGTCGCGTCCAGTCTCGATTAGCACAGTGTATGATGTTCCGGGCGTGTTATCGACGCCGACGGCAACACCTTCGCGGAATACTTCACTTCGTTCCGCGAAACACGATGTAATTTTGACTTTGAGTTCACGAATTGTTTCCACCACCAGACCCCCGCGTTTGAACCTTGTAAATGAACTCGCGAATAAGGCGCGAAGCTCAACATTTAGATTCCCGCGGGAATGTTCGTTAAAGTTAACTCCACGACGGGAAAATAACTCCACTTGTCGCTCAAGCAGAGTGAGTGAGCCCAGAGAGAAAACCCGTTGGATAGTGAACGCGACACTGTCTTTGTTCTTCTTCTGCACTCATTCGATTGTAAAACGAGAAGTCACAGTCCGACGTCTCACTGACAATGTTCACCCGTTCCGTCTCACAACGCGAATCTCGCGTAGTTTGATTATCCGTATGATCGGGTCAACGAAAAATCCGGCTCGAAGGACCAATGTTTTTCCTTTTATTTAATTTTAATAACAGTAATTTTATTGTATCATATCAGATTTGTACACTGTATCTGGTTCCGACGCTTCGGATTCTTTTGATAGACTATTGAATACGTGATTGAGGTTCGATTGTCGTTCTTCAAGAACAAAGAAAGACAGGATATCGCGGATCCGTTACAAGCATACCGCTTTATCGTTGGGTGCTCTCGACTGTGTCTTTGGGCTAACTGAACTCCCTTTTTAACCTCGGGGAAGACAACCGATTCGGAATCACGAGCTTTGCATGAACTCGGCGCGTGACACGCGCGCGGCTAATCGTGATTCGCTGGCCGGTTGACCTGTCGATGTCCGCTCGAGGTGCCAAACAAAGTCGATCGTTGGTCGAGCCTTGAGTCCCTGGCTTCGACTCGGAACCAGAACAATATATATATATATATTTTTTTTTTCTCGACAGCTTTGTTCCAAGTTTTAAACAGTGATAAATATTATTATTTTGAATGTGATAATTATTAATCAGAGAAATTCTAATAAAATTCTTTTCATACCATATTCTCTTACAATTACCATAACTTTTAGGGTAAATTCTAAGAGAAAATTCTCTCAGTGTTTTGATTAATTATTAAAAATTACTTGTAAAAACGCGCGGCGCGCACAGCACACGTTGCTCGATGCGGACGGCAATAGTTTACACGGCAAAGACACGACAATCATAATCACAATCTAAGAGAATTTTTTCTTAGAATTTACCTAGAAAATTATGGTAATCGTAGGACATTATGATGTGTGTATAAGATTTAACGTTGTAGGATGCCGGGTTAACGTGATCAAATGATTGTACGCGTTTTGAAACGGTTTAAATTAGTTTATTCACTTTCTACAAGTTCGTCGCGTACCGAGACTTATGTTTCTCGGCGCTCGCTCTCTCGAGGACTGACTCGAGGGCTGCGCGAATTTCGGAGCTCGCGTAGGGCGGCAGCCGATCGGGGTCCTCGATTGGACCATCAGAAAATCAGGCGATGTACACACGCCAATTAGCGGCGAGTGTACACGTTGGTTTCACGTGTTTCCTTGGCGTAAACACTAAGGAATTTAACAAAAAAACATTCTAGAAAATTCGATCGTCCTCGAGGATTCGATCCGAAGAACGAATCTTCAACATACCGCCCGCCTCGTATGCGAACGAATGCGAAATAAACTTAAACGAAGCGGGAGCGAATCGTCGAGGAAGATGATTACAAAAAACATACAGGTGAAGACGACTCGCACTGAGAAAGTCGTTTCGAAGATTACATAACTCTTACAAGTTAGCGGCTTCATCCGTTGCGGACGCGTTAGAGTTATCACGTATTGGCAGTCGGCATAATTGCGCAATAGGTCGTTTCAATGTGGACCGTGCGGTGCGTATGGTCACAACTCGAACGAGTCCATCAGATCCGGGATGGATTTGCTGTACTCGGGCAAGCTCCCATTTGCTCGGAGGGAACACGGGACTTTTAACTAATACTAATTCGCTTATTGCGAAGTTAGGAGACTGCTTGCACCACCTGTTTCGCTGTTGAAGCGAATGTAAATAATCCTGTGACCAGGCACGCCACACGGTTTCCTGCATGGCACGGACTAGTTGCCATCGCGAGAGCCTACGCGGGTCGATCGCGAGTACCGATTCCTCCGGAACGGCTACGAGGGGCCGTCCAATCAGAAAGTGACCCGGGGTAAGCGCCGACAAGTCACCCGGGTCGTCCCTAAGCGGAGCGATTGGTCGCGAGTTAAGGCACGCTTCTATTTTACATAGAAGCGTCGCGAGTTCAGCCCTCGAAAGTGTGTGGGAACCAACAGCGCGCCTCAGATGCGTTTTAAGGCTCTTGACTCCGGCCTCCCAAAGGCCGCCGAAATGTGGAGCGGCGGAGGGAATGAAATGCCAGTTCACTCCGTCGCCTGCGAGTGCGTTTCGCAATTCAGCATCCTTTCATAAGGATTGAAAGTGTCGATGAAGTTCGTGGTTGGCTCCATGAAAATTTGTGCCGTTGTCGCTATACATGTGACGCGGCAGACCTCTTCGGCTAGCGAACTTCTGATAGGCTGCAAGAAAGCCGGGCGTGGAGTAATCTTCCACTAATTCGAGGTGAATCGCCCTTGTAGCAAGACAAACAAACAGAGCGATATATACCTTTCTGGCCTTTTGCCCTCTGCCGACGAATGAAATTACGTGGAGTGGGCCGGCGTAATCAACCCCACAATGAGTAAAAGGCGCCGAAGGGGTGACACGAGCGGCTGGAAGGTCGCCCATGAACTGAGAAGACAATTTAGCCGCGTGACGAGTGCAGACTACACATTTTCGAATGTGCGCCTTTACTGAGCTGCGGCCTCCAATGATCCAGTATCGCTGACGCAGCACACGGAGTACTAGCTGTGTCCCCCCGTGGAGCGTGGATTTATGAGCGCGATCAATTAAGAGATCGGATAAGTGATGTTTCGGAATTATTATAGGATGTTGCTCGTCATAGCTGAGCGCGGAATTCGTCAACCGCCCGCCAAGACGGAGTAAAGAGTCCTCTCCTAGAAAAGGACTCAATTTGCTCAACGAGCTCGAATGCGGCATGGTGCCGTTATTCTTTAGTGAGCGCGTTTCCCGCTCGAAGAATCTCTGTTGCAGATAGCGCAACCAGAAGATTTCCGCCCTCCTAAACTCATCGGCGTTCAGAAGGGGGAAGAGTTGGGAGCGAGACGCGCTCTTTTCTTTTACACGAAGAATAAAGCGATTCATATAGGCAGTCACGCGGACAAGCTTGGTCCAAGTGGAGAACCTATATGGGAGTTCCCATTCCTCGGCCTCTTGAACATGGAACGTCACAGGCCGTCTTCTTTCCACCGACACTTGCTGATCGGTGGCAGTGTCGAGCGGAGCTGAGACATTCAGAATCGGCCACGCAGTCGATGGCTTCTGAAGCCATCGTGGACCGTTCCACCATAGCGGGTGAGTCACGAGCTCGGAGGCGGTCAAGCCGCGCGAGGCACAGTCCGCCGGATTATCTCGAGACGGAACGTGATTCCAACAAACAGAATCCAGACAGGTATGCACTTCGGATACGCGGTTAGCCACGTAGGTGCTCCATTTTGATGGATGTTGACGGAGCCACGCGAGAGCGATGGTCGAATCCGTCCATCCGTATATTGGAATCGGAGGTAATTTCAACGATGTCAAGGTCCACTTGATTAGCCGGCTGAGGAGGACGATAGCGTTCAGTTCCAAGCGCGGGATGCTTACGGTTTTGTTCGACGCGACCTTTGTTTTAGCAGCGAGCAGAGTGATTTGAAACTTCGTTGGCGAAGGAAGCACTCGAATATAAACGACCGCCGCGTAAGCGCGGTTTGAAGCGTCGGCAAACCCGTGGATTTTGAACGCGAGGTTATTGGAATGTCGACCGGTCCAACGCGGTATTCGGACGCGGTTTAATGATTCTAAATCGTTGGTGTAGCTCTCCCAACGATCGCGCAACTCCTCTGGAAGAGGGGAGTCCCAATCACATTTGAGAAGCCATAACTCTTGTAGCAAGATTTTCGCGGTTACAACAACCGGAGCAGCCCATCCTATTGGGTCGTATAATTTTGCCGTGAACGAGAGAACGGAACGTTTCGTGTGCGTAACCGATCTCAACGGAGTTATCACGAATTTGAACGCGTCCTCTTTAGCAAGCCATGAAAGCCCGAGAATCTTCTTTTACGAGTAAGTGATCGGTGACTTCCGGCTGATGAGCCGAAAGTCCTTGAAGAAGAGAGGAGGCATTAGAAACCCACTTTCGTAGTTGAAAACCTCCCTTTTGCAGGATTTCAACTAGTTGGACACGAGCTTCTATCAATGAAGTCGTATCGTCCGCGCCAAAGAGCGCATCGTCCACGTAGAGGGACTCGCTGAGAATTGAAACAGCCGCGGGATAGTTGTCACCTTTATCTAGAGAAAGCTGTTTCAGTACCCTTATTGCGAGGTACGGAGCGGGGGCGAGCCCGTACGTTACAGTGAGAAGGCGATAGTGTTCAATCGGCCCATCGGCCGACGATCGCCATAAGATTCTTTGAAAATCCGCGTCAGACGGATGCACGAGAATTTAGCGGAATATTTGAGCAATGTCCGCCGTGTAAACAAATTGCCATTGACGCCAGCGCAATAATATAGCGGAGAGGTCTTGCTGCAGTCTCTGACCGATCAGTAAGTGATCGTTAAGCGAAGTCTTA